CAGGGTTTGGGCATGAGGAGACGAGGCCATGTGAGGGGTCCCCTGCCCGGTGCAGGTGAGGACGCAGGGCTCGGGGACGAGGGGACGAGGCTGTGTGAGGGGGTCCCCTGCGTGTGCAGGTGAGGACACAGGGTTTGGGCATGAGGGGACGAGGCCGTGTGAGGGGTCCCCTGCCGTGTGCAGGTGAGGACGCAGGGTTGGGGCATGCGGGGATGTGGCCGAGGCCACACAGCAGTTTCTGCGGGTCCCCAAGCCTGTGCTCTGTAGGTGAGTCAGCAGTGGACAAAGGCCCCTGCTTTCCCGTTAGCGCCGACGGAGCATCTGCGGTTAGCTGATTGTCCCCAGTAACCGAAAGCCAAAGCAATGGAGTGGGTCTGCCGGCTGGGAAAGGTTTCTTCCTAAAGCGCTTAGGGGCTGCTGAGTAGTTCAGTAGTTCTTGTTCACACAGCACCCACGTTAAAAAAAATAAATGAACTTAAAAACTCCCACCAGGCCGATGACTGTTGGGGGTGTGTAAGTTGGCAGAGTACCTTGGAAGATAATTGGTATTAAGTATCAATAGCTGTGAGTGGCTTTGGAGTATAATTTTGCTCTTAAGAATCACTTCCAAGAAAGCCATAAATAAAGACAAAGATGGTGCTCGAAGATGGTTGTTACAGAATTATCTGTAATCGTGAAAATGAGAACCATCTACAGTGGGGTGTAAGGGAATACAGAGGGGTTAATTAAAATCTGGTAATGCGTCCAGTGCAATTTGGATGCTGGCAAAGAACCATGATGTGGGAAAGCGTTTAAGATAAAACACTAATTTGAGATTAACTGCTAATTTAAAGTAGAACACAGAACATATGCCATCATAGCTTTATCAGTAGTGTAGCAATGAAAGAAAATATGCGTAATATTGATGGTGTTTACAGACGATCTTTGCTTATTTCTGTTCTTCCTGAGTTTTCTCAGTGCGTATTTACAGGTGGTACTTTCGTTAACAGGGAAAAACATACCGTTCCAGAAAAATACTGGTCAGAAATTGAGAAGACATTTAGGAGAGAAGAGATTCTTAATTCTTGAAATAATTCATTGAAGTAAAACAAACTAGACTTTGTTTCATGTATGATGGTGACTGTTGGAGACAGTTCCTGCATGTAAATTTAGTTTTTTTCTCTTTACGTGTAATAGAACGATTTCTGTCAAAGTTTCGGTTAAATTTGAAGACCCTGGTTTTCTCTTTGGAAACGTAAAAACAGTGTTTAGGGAGAATTATAGACTCGAGTATTGAGTGGGACCTTCGTGTACAGCAGGGCTTCTCAGCCTCAGAACTGCAGACATTTGGGGCCGGGTCGTTCTTTGCTGTGGCCACTGTCCTGTGCTCTGTGGGATGTTGAGCAGCACCTCAGCCTCCACCCACCCCACCCTCCCAGCTGTGACCACCAGCAGTGTCTCTGGACATTGCCCAGTGTTCCCTGGAAGCAGAGTCACTGCTGTCGAGGGCCAGTGGGTCACGTACCTCTCTCTGCGAAGGATGCCGAAGCGCATCAGAGCCCGTGAGCACCGGCAGGGGGCCGCCTCCCACCCTGTTCCGACCTGTGTGGTGGGTTCTTGTGCAGGACCACCTGTCGGAGGTCCAGGAGCAGATGCCGGCACAGACGGGCTATGGCCGGGTCCTCTGGTCTGGTGCTTCCCCCAGCTGCATGGGAGGTCTGTGACTTTAAGCCAGAGTGCTGGGATCCTCGCCTCACATGTTAGCATTCACTGTCTGGAAGGGCGAGGGTGCAGGGTCTGCCTTCCCAGGTCATTCCAGACAGCGCACTGTGTTCCTGGGTCTCAGAGAAGACCACCTCCACAGTGGGACCTCGTCACACCCTGACGACGCAGGGCCCCGGGGCCCGGTTCTCCCGTCTATAGAGTAGAGGTAGGGTGAGGTAGCTGGGTTGCTGCCCTCGGAGTGTGCCGCGGGCCCGTGAGCGGAGAGCTGCTAGGTTCTGAAGGTGTTAACTGCGCTGTGGGTGTGTTCTGGGGGATACGGAACTTGTGCTCACCGTTGGTGCATTACCGTGTGTCCCGTTGTCTCCCCAGATGTTGACTTATTTTGCTGCATTCGAGGTATTCTTTGAAGAAAACTTGCCGAAATTATTTGCTCATTTCAAGAAAAACAACTTAACTCCAGACATCTACCTAATCGATTGGTAAGACTGGATTTTCTGTGTTCTCAGGACGTTTGCATGTCTCCCTGCCCCTTTCCCTCAGTCCTCTGCCGGCTACTTTCACGGCTCAGGGGCCCCTGTTCCTGCTTTGCACCCTTCTCACTGCCCCTGTCTCAAGCCCTGCCCTGATCGCCATGCCCTTGGTCACAGCTGGCTCCCCATCACAACTCTGGATGACTCCCCGTTAGATTCCGTGACCACCTCAGGGGAGCAGTGGTATCTTGGGCCGACTTGCTTTCACCCTCCTGGGGTGGTGCATGCGTGTGCGCTGGCTGAGATGTCCGGCCACTGTCTTGTCCCCGACAGACTGAGCTCTGGGAAGGAGGTGGCATCTGTCTTGGTGCCTTGGTGACTGTTGTGTCCGGCGTCCACTGCAGAGTGAGCGCGTACGCGGGGCTCCTCAGCATTTGTTATGTTCAGGGTTGCGTGGTGTCTGATGCTGTGTGACAGCCGGCTGGGCTGTGCTTCATGGAATTCTAAGCAGGAAGATCGCTGACTTGGAGCGTTCTGGACGGATTCAGACGTGAATGCAGAGTCCTCCGTTATGCCGCCTCGGTCTGAACACCCCCCCTGCTTCTAGGATCTTCACCTTGTACAGCAAGTCCCTGCCGCTGGACCTGGCCTGCCGCGTGTGGGATGTGTTCTGCCGTGACGGCGAGGAGTTCCTTTTCCGCACGGCCCTGGGGGTGCTGCGGCTCTTCCAGGACGTCCTGGCCAAGATGGACTTCATCCACATGGCCCAGTTCCTCACCAGGCTGCCTGAGGACCTGCCTCCCGAGGAGTTCTTCGCCTCCATTGCCACCATCCAGATGCAGAGCCGGAACAAGAAGTGGGCCCAGGTGAGCAGCCCCGCTCTTTGCCGTGGAGCGCGGGGAGCCCCCGGCTGAGTATACTTTGAGCGGGGCGGGCCTGCAGGCCGTCCAGGGGAAGGAGGGACCCTGCTCTTTGCTGTGGAGCGCGGGGAGCCCCCAGCTGAATGTGCTTTGCGGGGGCGGGCCTGCAGGCCGTCCAGGGGAAGGAGGGGCCCTGCTCTTTGCCGTGGAGCATGGGGAGCCCCCGGCTGAGTGTGCTTTGAGGGGGGCGGGCCTGCAGGCCGTCTAGGGGAAGGAGGGGCCCTGGCGAGGCACACTGGGCACGCCCTTGACTCTGGGTTGCTGACAGACGGAGGGGGCAGGCACAGGGTGTGGGGCAGGGCCTTCCCTCCACCCTGCTGGGGTCCCCAAGTTAGGAAGCATCTCCCTTCTGTCTCCTTTTTAAAATGCTGCCAGAGACAGAAAGCAAAAAGCACTAAGCTGCCGAGCCGCCGTGCAGGGCCTGTGGGCCTCACAATGATGCCATCCACGGCCAAAGCCAGCGAGGAGGAGGGAGGGAGGGAGGGCGCAAGGCCAGCGCCCCCAGCTCTTCCCCTTGGGTGGGTTGCCGTCGCCCCCTAGTGGCCCCTTGGCCGGTGGAGCTGAGCTGAGGGTCTGCGAGCATGGGCGGCCCCCGTCTTTGGGGCTCCCTCCCTCTTGGGTGTCCTCCTTATGGGGGGGTCCCTCCCTCCCAGGTATCCTCCTTGTTGGGGGCTCCTCCTTGTGGGGTGCTCCGAATATGTCCTGGTGATGGTGGAGAAGCCTCCCTGGCTCCTGTCCCTACACACGCTCCAGGTGCCTGAGCATCATGTCCTGGTTGTCGATCCCTGTGGTGGCTTATGCCTTCCCGTGCGTGCCAAGCAATGACTGTTCCTGGTGTGTTCCAGCGTTATTAACGGCACATCTCAGTACACACAAAAACGGTATCCCAAACTCCACAGACACGCTGGACCCCATGGCCCAGTCACTGTCCACGCAGGTCCCCAGCTGCGCCTCGCTTGTCGCATTGTGTGGCGGCCCCAGGCAGCGCTCTCTGTAAATACGTGTCTTTGAGGCTGTGGACTCTCAGCATAGCTCAGCCCAGTGTCACCCGCTGTCACCCAGGACAGTCACAGACGCCGTGTGTCAGATACCGAGCCGGTTTTCAAAGTTCCCATGGTTGGTTACACATGTCACAGATAGCGTCATAGTTGGAGTCGAGAACCAGATGAGGCCCCGTCTTTCTCTCCCACTGTATCTGTTGAAGAATCTGGGCTCTTTGTCCTGTGGTCTCTATGGGGCAGACGTGGCCGGCTGACCCAGTGGCACTGTGAGCGGCCCTCCGCCCTGCTGCACGCTGGTCGTCAGGCCTGGGGCTTCCTCAGGCTTGCTGTTCGCTTGTGTGGTGAGATGGCCCATCGTAGTTGGCCGCCCCTCCCGAGCTAGTCAGCAGCCTGGTTAGTGATGGATGGCTGGGTGGACGGACAGCTGTGCCACAGTGGGATTTATGGGCCATAAACCCCACCCTTTCAATGCATACAATCTGGGGCCTGTATTCACCCAGAGTAAGGCTGTGCCCTCTCCCTGGGACTCTGCCCCCCACACTCTCCCCCTCTGTCCCCATCAGAGGCCGCTCTGTTCGGGGGAAGATGCCCTTTCTCTCGGGGTCTGTTGGGAGGCAGCCACGATGCGGCCTGGGGTGACCAGGAAATGCCCCTCTGGTTTTACTAGTGGCCGGAGGGGCCCATGCATGGGCTGCGGTTCTGAAACGTCAGCACCCTCAGCTCCCGTGTGGGCAGGACCCGCTCGGTGAGAGGGACGGCCGTCTCCAGTTGTAAACAAAGAAAGGATAAGGCAGAACGACAACCCAGCCCTTGCGCAGAGGTCACTAAGACTTTCAGGATGGCAGCAGCAGAGCGCGGAACCATGCAGGGCCCGGGAGCATAGAGGCCGTGAAGCTACTTGGTGTGACCCTGCACAGGGACAGCCTCTCCTAACGGCCTTCATCCGTAGTGGCTCGGCCATCAGGGTGGTGGGCTTCTCGCCCGCTCCTCACTGCCACCTTCCTGTGAGATGCACAGATGCACACCACACGCCATGCGCACTTACACACCTCACATCTACACTTACATGCCACACGTGTACACACACACATACCACACACACACCTCACATCTGTACACACCACACGTTTGCACACACGCCACACACACATCTCACGTGTACACACACACCACACGCGCATACGTACACACATACCACGTGTGTACACACACCACGTACACACACACCACACGTACCACACGCGCACGACTCAGTAGTTGTGACGGGGGGGGGTGTTACACATGAAGGAGTCAGCTGGGAGCCAGGACGCAAGCGGCCACCTGGGGCCAGCTCGGGGAGGCTCGGGGAGAAGCAGCACCTTTATCAGACTTGAGGGTGCCCCATCGGCCGGTGAGAGGGCCTGGCACCCCGTGTGGAAGTGGACATTGGTGGCGGCACGCAGGGCAGAGCCAGGCTGAGGACAGAGCTGCTGTGGCTGCTGGGACGACGGCAGGATGTCAGCCCAGCGGCTGCAGGTTGGACTTCTCGTTAGGAGACCACACTGGGGCCAGCGTGGAGGATGGACAGGTGGCTGGGTGGTGGTTAGGAGGCTGCGTCCGTCCGTCTGTCCGCCTCTGTGTGATGTGTGCTGCAGACTGACCCCAGACGTCTCCCCGTCTGCAGGTCCTGACTGCACTGCAGAAAGACAGCCGGGAGATGGAGCGGGGCGGCCCCTCACCGCGGCACTGAGGCCCGGGTCGGCACAGCCGCAGCTCCACAGGCACAGACCAGCACCCGCTGCGGTGTGGGCGCGGACCAGTGTCCTGTGTGCAGACCAACGCCGCGGGCGCAGACTGACACCTACTGCGGTTGTGGGTGCAGACCAACGCAGCGGGCACAGACCAGCGCCGCGGGCGCAGACCTATGCCACGGGCGCAGACCTGTGCCGCGGGCGCAGACCTGTGCCGCGGGCGCAGACCTGTACCGCGGGTGCAGACCGAGGCCACATGTGCAGACCGATGCCGCGGGCGGCGGGCAGAGCGGGCTCTGCCGTGTCTGGCCCCTGACACTGAAGCTGGCCTTAAAGAAAACAACACTTCCAAGGATTCCCTGACGTGTGGCCTTCAGACGCTGGGGGCGCGGTGGCCTGTGCAGGGTCTTGAACGGGGGAGGTGGCTGACTCTGCCCGTTTCAGCAGCAGCTCATTAAATCGCAGTGCCTCTGCCGCCAACGGAGAGCAACACCTCAATCTGTCTTGGCCGTGGTCGTGGGAAGCATTGGCGGGAGGGAGGCCTCAGGGACGTTAGGGGCTGACCGTGGGGGTGGGCTCAGTTACGGGGCGTTGGCGGGAGGCCTCAGGGACGTTAGGGGCTGACCGTGGGGGTGGGCTCAGGGACAGTAGGGGTTGGCAGTGGGGGTGGGCTAAGTTACGGGACATTGGCGGCGGGGAGGCCTCAGGGACAGTAGGGGCTGACCGTGGGGGTGGGCCCAGTTTCCCAGAGTGGGAGCTGTGTGTTAGAAGCCCACCCACCACAGATCGCATGGGCAGGCGGGCCCCTGGGAAGGTGCTGCCTCATCCTCGTGGGCCCCCTGGCCTCGCGGGTGCCCTGCCGTGCTGCCCCGACTCTGCACGGTGTGGCCTGGCGTGCGCCCAGGCCCGCAGCTGGCCCGTGTTTGCCGAGCAGTAGCAGGTGTTGGCGCCGACGGAGACGGGCTTTCCAGGCTGGTGGAGGAGGCGGCGGGAGCGGGGAGAGCAGCCCTGGCCTGCCCCACCTCGCCCCCTGCTCTCCTGCCTCTGGAGGCTGGGTGCCGGGCGCAGCGTGGGGTCAGCGGGGGGCTGCTCCCTTTACTGTGACATGTCACCAGCCGTGGAGCCGGTCCCTGGGGCCAGTGGTTCTCTCTCTGCGTCTGGCTGTGACGTACAGGTGACCCCAGCCGCCACAGGGGCCGGACATCCCCCACCTAGTGGCCCTGGTGGTCTCAATAGCCTCTTGGCTTCTGTGCCTCAGTCTCAGCCCTGCTTGTCTTCTCCAGACTCACTGGCAGGATTTTGTTGTAGCTTTTCGCTAATTTTGAGAGCTTTTCGTGAAGAAAGGAGTTTGGTTATCAGGTTCAGAGACGACCAGTGTTTGCACAGAACAGGAGGACAGGCAGCATCATGGAGAGGGCCCCACAGACGGTCAGCTGGCCGGGGGCCCTGGCCGGCGACCGCCCTCTGTGGGCTGGTTCCTGGTGTCGGGAGCGTTGCTGACTCCGGGCCGGGCCGGGGAGCCTGGCTGTGACATTGCCTTCCTGATGGCCTGTGTCTGCACGCCTCACCCCCAGGCCTGTGCAGCTGCATCTGCGGGTGTGGGGGGCCTGTCCTGCCTCCGCCTTTCCCTACTGACCCCTGGAGGCGGCCGATCCCCGGTGTCTGGGCACCTTCCCTGCATCGCCACATTGAATGTAGCCCCCAGGCACACTTCCTGTGTCCATGATGGAGATACGCTGTCCTCTAAAGGTGTGTATTTTCTTACCGTACACGAGACATTCCTGCGGTCGTGACAGAGGGTGAGGGCGCAGGGCTCCAGATGTGGTGTTCCAGGTCGTCTCAGCCCAGCTTCCTGCACTGTCGCCCAGCAGTGGACACGCACCTCACCGGATGGCACCATTTGAAGAAGCTGAAGTGTTGAGCTGGGACCCTGTAACCCCGGGACACTCAGCAGGCCTCTGGCTCACGGGAGCCTCCTTGGGCCGCTGGGGTCTCGGTTCAGTGTGTCCTGGGTGCCCCGTGCCCACCCGCGCCTCCCTCCTTGTCGCTGTTGTGGGTGGACGGACGCGCCATGCCCTCAGGGCCGCGTTTCCATGTCAGGCCCTAGGTTTTCCAGATCTCAGATTCCAGGCCCAGGGCCTCTGTGCAGCTGTACCTTAGAGCCAAGAGCTGCGGGAATCTCCTGTAGAAACAATGTTCCCCGAAGGTACTTTTTAACTGCTCAGTTTTTTACTATTTTGAGTGGTTTGTGGATGGAAAACCCTGGAAACACTTGCTACATATCATGTTTCAATGCCTGTACAGTCAACCTTTAATTTTATTTAGTGAAGTGTCTCAAGTAGCACTTTTTGAATTGTAAATAAGTGGTTTTGTTAAATAAAAGTTATGTACAGTTGTTACCTCTGCTCGCTGACCGTGGTGTGGTGTGAACTTGAGGTGCTTACCCTGAAGCCAGCAGGCAGGGTCCTGAGCATTTGCTGACTGAATAGTTTAAAAGCCCCATGTCAGGCTCTGTTAAAAAGAAAAAGCCTGGTCATCTAGTCAGGGGACTCGAAAGTTGAGGGCACCCACTCTAAGTAGAAGGGCACCCCGAGATCGGGGCTCCCCCTCCAGACGGCCGCTCTCATGCCCACCCGGCGCGCCGCCCCCGTGTCTGTCAGTCTGCATTGGTGGCCTCATCGCCCCGTGTGCGTCCACGCCCACTCTGGGTCACTGTCCCAGCACTCTGCGTGTGACCTTGGGACCCTCCTCGGTGGCTTTGCAGACTGGACCGGAACTGCCGGGGTGGGGGCTCCTGGTGCCCCCACCTGTCAGTTGTGGCCTGGGCTGTTTCTCAGTCTACGGGATGGGGGTTCGTGACCCCTGGTCACTGAGCGGCCGTGAGGACAAGAGGAGCCTGGTGGGCACTGGGAGCCACCCACCTGGTGAGTGTCCTTGCTGCCTGGCTCCTGCAGCCACGGTGGGCGGTCGGGGACAGGCATGCACGGGAGCCCACACTGCACTTGTCCATCTGCAGGTCTGCTGACCCCACCCTGCCCCCAGGCTGCTGGCCCCTCTGAGGGGACTTTGCCCCCAGCCACTGGTGGAGCAGGCCAGGGGTTCACTCAACCCTCCTTCATGGGTGGGTGCACGCCCCCAGCCCCTTCTTGCTGTGTCCCCTGCAGGCTCCTGGGTGAAGGTGGTGACTTGGTTGAGGGCTCGTCTGCTGCTCCGAGCAGACATTTTTGCTTTTTAACAGTTTAAAGAGGTCCTTTGCAGCAGATCTGCTGAACGCAATGTGTCGGTCAGTGCAATGCACATATCTAGTCGTTGGTTGAACAGACACCGGACAGTCCTCTGAAACACATCTTCCGCGTCTGGCTGGAGTCTGTGTCTCTGCAGGGTGACCGTGACACGGCCGGCACGCTAAATGGGAGTCGGTCCACTCACATGGCATCTGAGTGTTTGACCCATTGCTTGGACACCAAGGCCATCGGAAAGTTTGAAACACAGAAAGTGCCGAATGGGGGTGTATTATAATATTACTTTATGGACTGGCATCCAACACCAGTGGCAAAAATCTAAACTGGGACTGCAGACAAATTTATTCTAAAAAAAGAAAGCATTATTTCCACTCACATCATTAAAACCTTTCACAGGTGGTACTAAGTCAATAGCGATGACTTTATTTGCCGACGACAAGGGCTGCTTCTGGCTCTGGGATCTGGCAAGTGCCTGGCTCATTCCTGCAGGCCCGGTGCCACCAGCAAACAACAGAAACCTTGCGACTTCGGGGCGGCACGGGGCCCTGCGGGAGGGGGACTGGCAGGAAGTCCATCCCCAGAATGTGGGGACTGGTCCACATTCTCTCCTCCATCCTTGTCACCAGCTGCCCCTGCTGCACACTCTCACCCTAGCCACATGGAGCTGGGTCAGCGCTCACAAGTTAAAAGAACATCATTCTTCAGATTGCCCAATAGGCAGACGCCAGCCACAGGTCTGGGGAGTCCACATGACACCCTGACTTTCTGATCTGCTGGCTCCCACTGCCCCTTAGGATGCAGTAATTTGCAGAGTTCACGATGAGTGTACCATACTTACGACTGCAGATTTATTACAACCAAAAAGGATACAGAGAGACCCCAGGGCGAGGTCTGGGCGGGTTCCCAGCACGGAGCTCCCATGTCCTAACAGGACACGCCACCCTCCTGAGCTGTCTCCCGAGCTCTCTCCGACCAGAAGCTCTCCGAGCCTCTGTGTTCAGGGCTTTCTTCGGTCCGTCCTCCACAAAAGGCTAAAGGACGCCTCCTGAGGTGAGTTGATACCAGCTTCCCAGGTGAGTCTTTTCTGGTCTGGCCAGCCCCCATTCACCAGCACAGATCCCCCGGTGGGGCCTAGAAGTCCAAGACCAAGGCACCCCAGTTACTCCAGGTTATTCCTCCGGAGCCAAGGACAAAGGCCGTCTGACTCGCAGTAAAACTAGTCCTTTATTCCACAGACTCAGCAATTTGTTAAAAACTTGTCTGTTTTCGTATAACATTGCTCTCGTTTCATTCAGTGTCTGCATTGTTTCAGGCCCTCTACTTTTCCACAAGATGAAAAGATAATTATAGCCCTGCTTTACTTTGCATTTATATAAATAATCTTAGTTACAGAGGTTTCTAGTCCAGCCCCTGATAAACGAATCCTAGTTTAGGCTGGGGAGCATGGTCTCGGGGAACATCTAGCTCAATTGGCATAACATAGTTTATATAGAAAACGTTCTACATCCTACTTTGGTGAGTAGAATCTGGGGTCTTAAAAGACTGTGAGCGGCCATCTAACGTACTCAACTGATCTTACCCCTTCGGGAGCAAGGGAGAATGAAGAAAACAAGATACAAAGGAAAGATTAGTCCAAAGGACTAATGGTCCACAACTACCACGGCCTCCACCAGACTGAGTCCAGTACAACTAAATGGTGCCCGGCTACCACCACTGGCTGCTCTGACAGGGATCACAATAGAGGGTCCCAGACAAAGCTGGAGAAAAATGTAGAACAAAATTCTAACAAAAAAAGACCAGCTTATTGGTCTGACAGAGACTGGAGTAACCCCGAGAGTATGGCCCCCGGACACCCTTATAGCTCAGTACTGAAGTCACTCCTGAGGTTCACCCTTCAGCCAAAGATTAGGCCCATAAAACAAAACGAGACTAATGGGGCACAGCAGCCCAGGGGCAAGGACAAGAAGGGGAGAATGTTGACATGTCATGGGGTTGGCAACCAACGTCACAAAACAATATGTGTATCAATTGTTCAAGGAAAAACTAGTTTGCTCTGTAAACCATCTGAGTACAATTTGAAAAAAAAAAAACTACCAACCTTTTGGTTAGCAGCCAAGCACTTAACCACTGTGCCACTGTAATGTACTTCAAATACTTTTTTTTTTTTTTTTTAAGGAAAAAGAAGAGAGAATCCCTCTTTAACGTCCCCCGGGAGCTGGCGCGGGCGGCCCCTGCGGGGACTGGACTGCCGGCTCCCACGAAGTGCTTCTCTGTGTGGCTGGAGGCTGCCTCCCTGTCGTCCTCTTCCTGGTTCTGCTCTTGGGAGATCCTCTTCCTACCTACAATTAGTTTTTGGTTTTTTTTTTTAAATAAACTTAGTCATCCAGTGCTGCTATAACAGAAACACCACAAGTGGATGGTTTTACTGAAGAGAAGTTTATTTCCTCACGGTTAAAGTAGGCTCATAGTCCAAATTCAGGGTGTCAGCTCCAGGGGAAGGCTTTCTCTCTCTCGGCCTTCTCGTCAGTGTTCCCCCAGACTAGAAGCTTCTCGGCGCAGGGACCCCGGTCCAAAGGACGCGTTCTGCTCCTGGTACTGCTTCCTTGATGGTATGAGGTCCCCCTGTCTCACTGCTCACTTCTGTCTTTTATATCTCAAGACATTGCCTCAGGACACAATCCAGTCTTGTAGATCCAGTCCTGCCTTACTAACACAACTGCCACCCATCCTCCCTCATTAACATCATAGAGGCAGGATTTACAACATATAGGAAAATCACACAGTACCAGGAATCATGGCGCAGCCAAACTGATACACACATTTTTGGGGGGACATAATTCAAACCATGAGAAATTTTTTTTTTATTTTGGAATGGCTTTAGATTTACAGAAAAGTTGTGAAGGCAGTACAGAGATTTCCCATATAGCCCACACCTGTTCCCCGTTATTAATGTTCCACATTAACGTGGTACATTTGTCAGAATCGGTAAGTTAGTATCGATGGATTAGTATTAAGTACAGCCTGCAGTTTATCCAGGTTTCCTTGGTTTTCACCAGCGCCCCTTTCCTGTCCCAGGATCCCATCCAGGACACCAGCGTATCTAGCCATCACATCTCTTGAGGCGTCTCTTGGCTGTGACAGTTTTTCGAACTTTTTTTTTTCAATACAATTAGTTTTTAATCCAGCATAGGAATTATCAGTGCCTGACACATAATAGCCATTCAGGTAGTACTTATTTTTGGAAAATGAACGAGATTCGCATTACATTAGTGCATCAATCCTACAACTACAGTGAACGCGAGGCAGGGGCCCAGGACCGCGCTGGCTTCTGGGGAACGTTGTGAACCAGCACTCCTTGCCTTCTAGAGCTTTGTCTTCCTGGGGGTACAGGTGTCTACCTAAACAATCACAGCAACGATCCCAGGGCTCAGAGCACCACCGAGAGCACCTCATTAAGACTTTGTGGGTAGAGAATGCTTTAAGGTCTGTGGAATTCTCCCTTCGAAGTAACCCATCCTAAGAAACCATTTGTGAATGGATTGCTAATTGATGATTAAGAGCTTTCCTATACTTTAATTAGGAAGAACCACATTATAAGGCAGTCAACAGAAGATTGTCGTCTGATTAATTGATGGCACCGTCTCCAGCATGAGGTAGTCTCATTTGAGAGAACATTGCTAAATATGTATTCATTTACTCAGGACAGATTTGCTTTGCAGCTTAGAGCAACACCACCCTCCTCAAACTCCTGTGTCTTTGTGCTCTGAGAAATCTGCTTGTTATCAGATTCAAGACTGATGGAAGGAACATTTGGTTGGATCTGGGTCATTGCTGATGGGTCCAATCAGCTGAAAACGCCCACTGTCCCCGTGGTGAGCCACAGGCATCAAGGACAGTAGTATGATGGAAACCACTGGCTTGGCAGGTCACGAGCATCATTGGCAACATCACTCGGAAGCCTCCCACCCACCAAAAAACACAATGGGCGCCTAAGGCTTCTAGTTTGAGGCACCAAAAGAAACCAAGTCCCATTTATTTGCCAGTGAGCTACTAAGTTCACTATGGCCTAGAAGAACAGGGTAGAGAACAAAATGGTAGCTGACAAGCAGAATGGAAACAGGAAGTCAAAGCTGCCCCGGCCAGGGTTACAGTTGCGTGGGATGGTTAGTCACAGTATTATCACAAATAGTGTATTCAAGCTGCAGACGTTAGAAGAGGAATTCTAACCAACCCTCATCGGCTTCAAAGGGAAAACACATTAGAAAGTAAGATCATGTCGCCAGGAGATACTCTCAGGCAGTCTTCAGACACTGCCGGCCACCGGTAACGTCTGTCTAGAGACTGTCCTCCTTATGGTCCACTGAAGTTTAGGAATAGGGGGATACTTCTAAATCTGCACATCTCAAAATTCAACCTAAGAGGAAATGAAACCACCTCCATGTTGCAGCAGCATCAAAGAAAATGGAAAGTGTTAATCACTGATTCCAGATTGTTAGAAGAGACCCAGTGTGTAGTTCTCACATTAACACGAGGAGTAACAGACACTTGAATGTTCCATAGAGAAACACATGCATAGTGAAGGTCCTGTTGTCAAGATGTGAAAATATCTTGCTGGGAAAAAAAGGCTTATGGACGTCAGCAGGCACCCCTCCACACACTTGGCAAAATACACCATACGCAATCATTTTGTTCTCACTGGAAAACCATACTGCCCTTTTCGGTACGGAGAGCGTGTTTCCTTAGAGGGTCCCACGAGCCGTTTCATTAGACGTGAAGTCGGCCATGGAGCCTGAGACAAACAGTAACGGTTAGTGGACAGTGGCCCTTTCCTGGGAGAGGAACACTGAAGGTACAGCAGTGAGTTTCCTGCTTGGCACCTGCTCCCTGGCTGTTTGCAGTACCCACAAGCTAATGCTAGTTGCATACAGAACAGCTTAAGTAATTCTGGGAGTAATCTAAGGGCATCTGTGAGCACTGGAGACAGTCAATCAGGACAACACAATTTAACAACTTCAAAGGGAGTTTATTATCTTTAATGCACAGGCATTTTTTTGGTACCCACCCATGTCTTGAACTTTTAAACCCTGCACAAGGTAGAGAAGCGGTATTCCTTCTTTCTGGGTCACTGAAACTGTGCAACCGCTCAGATATAAAAGGGCTCTTGGCACCTTTCTATGAGCACTCAGGTACATTAGACCATCCCCGTTGTTTGTTTCTCTGGACCCATTTTGCTTCACCCCGTACAAAACTGTTTGCTAACCCAATTTTGCACTCAGCACTAATGTGGAAGTGAGAGATTATGATACAAAAGTGTTCCACCCCAAATACCACAGGCCTTTCAGAGACTGACAGCAGATGGAGGAGACTCAAAGTTAATGAAGGATGAAAAAGCTTGGCCAGCTCCTCCTCCACAGCGTCAAGAGGGGAGAAAGGCCTTGGCCTCCCTGATCTTCTGCTTCATACCCTTGCAGGACAAGGCCAGCCCCGCGTGGTGGCGCTTCAGGGCTTCCAGGCGCTGGTTGAGCACTTCCGTCTTGTCCACCTTTTCTTCCATGTCCTGAAGGAGGGACTCCTTGCCCAGGAGCCCGCACTTCTGATTCAGCCCGACATTGTCGAGGCGCAGCCTGTCGCGCGCTTGCTTTGTCTTCGTCAGAATGTCTCTCTTCCGGGCCACGAGAGCCTCCATTTCCAAAACCTGAGACTTCTTGTACATGTTCTCCGTTTCCACAAAGTGTAACTTCTCCTTCACGTGGGTGATGATCTGCACGTTGTTGATCACCTTGTTGCGCAGCTTTAAAAGCTCCTCGTTGCGCTCCTCAACTTTCTCGTTGAAGGTCTGGTTCTCAATCTTCAATTGCTCAAAATCGATGAGAAGCAAGCCCTCGGTCAGGTCCTCCTGCGTCCTCATCCTGGTTTCAAAGTGCGCCAGGCTCTGCTTCAGCTGCACATTCTCCAGCCTCACGGCGCTCATCTCCTTCTCCTTCTTGTCCTCCAGGGCCTGGATCTGCTCCACCTCCCGCAAGGCGGCCTGGCGCCCGCCTCGCAGCCGGCAGCTGCCCAGGGCCTGCAGCACCACCTGCTTCTTGAGCGCCTGGAAGGCGCGCCACTCCTTCTCCACCCGGGTGAGCTTCTCCTGGCACTGCTGCTTGAGCTGGACCAGCTCTTGGCGGAACCAGTCCAGGTCGTCGGCCTCCTGCTTCTTCAGCTCCTCCAGCACGGCCAGGTAGCGCAGGTACACCTGCTCCTTCTCGGGGGCCTCGGGCTCGGTGCCCTTGTCGGGCGCCTCGGCCGCCTCGACGCCCTTCTTCTTCCGCAGCGAGTCCTGGATCTTGTGCTGCAGGTACATGTTGTAGCGCTGGTAGCGGTTGCGCTCCACCAGCAGGGCGCGGTACTGCTCCAGAAGCTCGGCGCGCAGCTGGTGCTCCTGCTGCTTCTTCACCTCCTCGGTCCACTCGGACCCCCAGTCGGCCCGGGAGTCCGCGCCCTTGCGCAGCTCCTCCTCGCTCCTGGCCTGGCTGCCCTCGCTGCCCTCGCGCTCTTCCCAGTGAACGTTCTCGCGCTGCTGGGCCGCCGCGGGCGC